CTTACTAAGGTTAAATGGTATAGAGGCAGGACAGCCGGCTCGGAACCCGAAAGTCCCAGATTCGATCCCCGGTCACTGCATACCTCGTGGTGTTTCTGGGCAGCACACCTCATCCCCAAAATGCCCCCCCCCCCCAGGCGCTTTCAATAGCTGCCCACTGCACCACCTGGTGGTGGATGGGTTAAATGCAGAGACTAATTTCACCATTGTATGGAAACATACCGTGATGACACTGTGATGACACTATTAATTTGTGCGAGTTCAGAGAGTTGTCTGCTCAGGGAGGAACCTGCAGAAGAAGCACGGAGACTCTCTGATAACTGCAAGGCCTCCTCCTCATCTGTAAACTGGAAAGAAGAGGTCGTCTTGACCTCACTTCTGTCTGATAATGTGAATTTAAGCTTTCCCTAACTCTTTGTCTGAGCTGATTTCATGACCGAGACTCAAAGCATGTATTTTTGTACACCTGTGTTTTGACATAATAATAATAATAATGAATTTAATTTGTAACGCACTGTTCATTAACAAAAATCTCAAAGTGCTACAGAGTGCAACTAAAATTGATAAAATCAACTAAAATCAGTGATAAAATCAACTAAAATCTGTGATAAAATCAACTAAAATCAATGATAAAATCAACTAAAATCAATGATACAATCAACTAAAATCAATGATACAATCATGTGGAGGCAGAATAGGCTTGCTTAAAAAGAAAAGTCTTTAAGCCTTTTTTAAAGTCAGTCAATGATTGTGGAGCTCTCAGATATTCAGGGAGGGAGTTCCAGAGGTGGGGGGCAGCCACACAGAATGCCCGATCTCCCATTGTTCTTAATTTAGTTCGTGGAAGGTGGAGGAGATTACTGTTCTGTGATCGTAGGGACCGGGTGGATGAATATGGAGCAAGAAGGTCCTTCAGATAATCTGGTGAATTTCCGTATAAACACTGATGGGTGATGAGAGCAATTTTGTACTGAATTCTGTAAGTGACAGGAAGCCAATGGAGGTTATGGAGAATGGGTGTAATATGTTCAAATTTACGAGCTCTCAATAAAATCCTGGCTGCACTGTTTTGAATATATTGAAGCTTCTGAAGGTTTTTGCCGGGTATTCCAGTAAACAGGGAGTTGCAGTAGTCGAGCCTGGAGGAGACAAAAGCATGGACGAGTTTCTCTGCATCAGCAAAAGTGAGAGATGGGCACAGTTTGGAGATATTTCGAAGATGGAAGAAACAGGTTTTAAACAGATGCTTAATGTGATTTTCAAATGTAAGATGAGAGTCAATTTTTATTCCAAGATTTGTAACAGAGGTGGAGAGGGGGATGTCTTGTCCAGAAAATGAAATAGTCGTTATAGTTGAAGTTTGAACCTGGTGAGGGGTGCCAATCAGTATGGCCTCTATTTTGGAGCAGTTTAACTGAAGAAAGTTCTGATTCATCCATGCCCTTATCTCCTCCAGGCAGGTAGAGAGGACAGCGAGTGAAGATGGAGATGACAGTGGTGAAGATGATGCTCCGGTCCTTATGTAAAGCTGTGTATCGTCGGCATAACAGTGAAAAGAAATGTTGTACTGATTAATAATTTTACCTAAAGGCAACATGTAAAGGGAAAATAGCAGGGGCCCTAAAACTGACCCTTGAGGGACACCACAGGAGACACAGACAGTCTGGGACTTGGCATTGCCAAGACTAACACATTCCAGCCTATTGGAGAGGAAAGATTTAAACCAGTCCAGGGCAGTGTCACAGAGACCGACCTCCACATGAAGACGGTGGAGGAGGATACTATGGTCCACAGTGTCGAAAGCTGCAGTGAGGTCAAGGAGAACAAGGAGGGAGGGAGAACCAGTGTCAGCAGCCATGAGGACATCATTGGTGACTCTCAGCAGTGCGGTCTCAGTACTGTGAGCTGCACGGAAGCCAGACTGAAACTTCTCATACAGGGAGTGTTGTTGTAGGCGGATCTGCAGCTGAGCAGCAACTGCTTTTTCCAGCACTTTTGACAGAAATGGGAGGTGAGAAATTGGGCGGTAATTAGAAAGAATGTCTGGATCCAAATTAGATTTTTTCAGAAGAGGCCTAATGATGGCAGTTTTAAGAGGCAGTGGAACTTGACCAGATTGCAGTGACTTATTTATTATTTGTGTGATTAATGGGCTTATTGCAGAGTGATTGGATTTAATGAGAGACGAGGGGAAGGGATCCAGGGCGCAGGATGAAGGCTTCATTTTCTTGATGATGGTTTCCACTTCACTCTCAACAACCTCATCAAAGCAGCTCAGGGACCCAGAATGCAGACGGGTAGATGGCAGATGAAGATCAGGGAGGCTATGGAGCTGAGATCTAATGGAGTTAACTTTGTTTTTAAAAAATGAAAGGAACAGGTTGCATTTTTGAACAGAGTCCTCATGAGACTGTTTAATGGGATTAAGGAGATGATTTATTGTGGAGAAGAGTTGTTTAGAGTTTCCAGGGCAGTTGTTGATGATGTTAGAATAATATTTGGACCGTGCTTCTTTAAGAGAAAAGGCGTAGGCTTTCTGATGTTCTTTATATGCCTGCTGATGTACAGAGAGACCAGATGATTTTACACGTCTCTCAATAGCACGGCCAGCTGCTTTCATCTTACACAGCTCAGCAGTGAACCAAGGGGCTGAACGGGAGAAAGACACCAGCCTTGCTTTAAAGGGAGCATGGAGGTCCAGAAGCTCCTGGAGAGATTGGTTGTAGTAATCCACAGAGTCATTTGCAGATGAATGATTGACAGTGGTCAGGGAGTGGAGATCAGAGGACAGAACCTCAGGGGAAATGTTTTTAAAGTCACGGAACTGGATAAGTCGTTTAGGATTAGGAGCAGATGAAGTTGAAGGCACTTCCAGGGAGATGACACTGTGGTCTGAGACACCCAGGTCATATACAGATAAGTTATTGATAGGTACAGTGTCTGTAATCACCAAATCCAGAGTGTGCCCCCTGTTGTGCGTAGGGGCGTCAACATACTGAGTGAGATTGAGAGAGTCCAAAAGAGACTTAAACTCTGCTGCCAGAGGGGAAGAGGAATTATCAATGTGGATATTTAAATCTCCAAGAATAATATTTTTCACAGGAGATGCGCAGAAAAAAGTGAGGAGGTCATGCATCTCTGAATTAAATGAAACATGTGGTTTGGGAGGCCGATAAATCAATATAATCAATATAATTTGGGGGAGTGGTGGCGCAGAGGTTAGAGAGGTGGGCTTGTGATCCGAAGATCGCCGGTTCACGCCCCGGCCCCGACAACATCAAAATTGTGGGTGGGGTAGGTGAAACACTCATACTTGCCCCCACCCTCATTCACCCCACTCTGGGCCCATGAGCAAGGCCCTTAACCCCCACCATGTGCTCCCTAAACAGGTCTCTCTTGAAAATGAGTTCTCGTGGCTCAATGAGACTAACCTGGATAAATAAAGGCTAAATGAAAAAAAAAAAAAAAATAACATTCATCAGGAGGGGGGCTTTGAGGTTGAAGGCCAAACATTCAAAAGACAAGAAGTCCCGAGAAGCTAAATGTGATCATTTTAAATTACTGCGGTAAATTACAGCCAGACCACCACCACGGCCAGTGCAGCGGGCTTTCTGCAGATAACTGTATCCAGAGGGTCAGGCTTCATTCAGAGAGCTGTACACATCTGGTTGATGCCATGTAAGGCACATGAGGTCCAAATTTTTCTCCAGAATATGATCATGAATAACACATGATTTATTGGATAGTGATTGAGCATTGAAAAGTTCTATTTTAATATTGGTTGGAGTAGAAGCCTTTAGAAGAGGTTTAAGCAGCTTAAAGTCCACTCCACGTTTTCCTTGCCACTTCGTGCGCTGTGTTCTTTCAGCAATATCAGGCACTACAGAGACGTAATCGATGTGCGGCAGGACCGGTAGACCAGATGGAAGGGATGGAGTCAGACCCAGCTTGCCGAGAGTAAACAGTTCTCTTCCGAGAGCCTCTATGGACATAACGAGATCTACGCAGAAGGCCCAGTTGTTTAATGGTAGAAACAGAAGGTGGAATGGAGCAGTTGTTGAGTCCAATCAGCTGGGAGGCGGAGTAGGTCAACATCGACGAGCCAGCCAAGCCGGGGGAAGCTAGCACAGAGCTAGCCGCTAACAGCAGACCCACAGCTCCGAAAAGGATATCCAAAAGGCAGTGCGATGTAATCCACAGCATAGCACAGGAAAAAATCCAGCAAAAGATGACAAACTGGAGACAATCCAGATGACACAGGAGGTTGACAGAAGCAGCAAGGTAAGCGCAATAGTTGCTAGTTCTTCAAGCAAAGTCCGAGCCGCCGTGCTTGAGTTGTATGTTGACAGCAATAGTCCCAAATTCCTGTTAGGGAGTGCTAATTAAGCTGTCTGTTATAAGTACTGATCGAGAAATTACTGAACAAAAATAAGTCCAGATAAATGTCCACGAATATAGCAACAGTATAATGACTTTTTAGTGCGGAGAAGCAGCGAACATGCAGCGCCAGCGTCCTCTCCCTCGGACATCTACCCTTGCAATCAAATTGGTTGAAAGATCTTCTCATGTCCTCAGTGTGGCTTAACTGAGTAATGAGATGATGAAGGGATATTTATTTTATCCAACACGCTGCACAATACATTGAATTTCCAAAATACACTTTAACTTGTAATTATATGAACACAAAATTTAAATGTTTTCCATTCTTCAACAGAAATGATCTCATTGTAAACACTTATACACAATATCTAAAGCGTAACATGCAAGTTTTATAGGAGGTCCTGTCTTCAATTCTGTAACCCTGGTATAATTTGATCAAATCATATCAAAGACAAACTATTGAGATTCCAGAAAATTCTTGTGGAAAACAATATGTTTCAACTCTTTCATGCATTAACTGTCTTGATTGACATGATAGTATCAGACTTGGCGCTCCCTCAATATGTGTGTTGTACGTTGGAGTACATTGTGTGTATCATTATGTTTTTGTGGATGTGCAGATCTGAAGGACATGTCACTCATGGTGCTGCGGACCAAGGGTCCTGCCAAACTCCCACAAGGCTACAAACTGTCTATGCACATTTCCCAGAGAGATGCAGAGAGTGTCCGAGTCTTCAGATCAAAATCCCCTGGAATGGCCACTAATATCCTGGGTGAGTAAAAAAAAAAATCAACAAACAGAGCTGAAAAAGCCCATAAAACAATGTAATGTGGCTATAATAAAGCTCTTGTGCAACATATTTACACAGCTACTGAGGTATTTTAGAACTTATTGTCCTGATGTTCTCTTTCATTTATCACTTGCTATCATATTCTTCTGCAGGTACACTTTTCAGTGTCTTTATAACAAACTATCCACTTGTACTGAGCCATGACACTCTGTCAAAGGAAGTGCCTTACCTTGGAGGTGCAGAAGAAATTAACTTTTACGTGGAGGGTCTCAGGTTTCCTGATAAGGACTTCGATGGACTTGTCACCATCAACCTCAGTCTGTTAGAACCCATTAGTGATGTAAGGACTCCAAAATACCAACAATTTTACTCATTTTTATTTTGTTAAACTTTTTTTTTTTTTACTGTCATAACAAAAACTGACATTAAATTGCAACCATCTGTCTATACACCTATTTTCATCTGCTTATTTGAGGTTGGGTCACATGTAAGGAGGGATTCTCTTGTTACCCTCTCCTCAGCCACACTCCTCAAATCGGAATAGGTCATTCCCAAGACAACAGGAATGTATAAGCCTTTCTAAATGATCTGGGTCTGCTTTGGTATTTCAGTGGAACATGCCTGTAAAACTGAGGTGGCCAGCATCACGTGCAAATAAGTAATGACCAAAATGCAGGCCTGATGAGACAATAGGCCCTTTTCACATGACGTCAGACAACTTCCTTTTTGACTCGATGCTGTGGATCATTACTTCTGGGTCTATTCTCCCTCACCTGTCTGGAAACTTCATGGAATTTCATTCATTCAACCTTTATTTACAGTGGTTATATTACAAGATATAGCACAAGGTAAGGTTAATAAAAACAGTATTTATGTGTTAGTTAGCTGTGGTAACATTATCCATCATTGCAGCAACTTTAGCCACAGTAGCTAATACACTCACACACACACACACACACACACACACACACACACACACACACACACACACACACACACACACACACACACACACACCAACACACACACACACACACACACACACACACAGACACACACACACACAGGAGGGCACTTCTTAATTGTCAGCTGCTGGATTTCCATTTCTAGGGACAAAACTTGTCTCTGCAACTCGAATTCTCCATGCAGCATCATCCAGTTGACCTAAGAGAAAAGAAAGTATAAATCTTAATAAACATCACTTATCTACCCATCAATTTCCTGTTCAATTATCAAATATATTTTGTATTACAGTATTTCTCCAATTACTTACTCGTTACTGCCTTGACAGTTCTGAGGTGAAGATATATATAATTTTTTTCAAACGGGAAAACACAAAATATGCAATATTTTCCCTAAAGTATAAAGCTGCTCCTCCTCATTCAAATCATTTCATGTATTAACTGACAGTCTCTCAACCATTAGCAAGTCCAAAATGTTCTGAATACAACCACAAGATGGTTACAGTATTATTCACTGCCATATATTTTTTCTACAAGACATTTTCTGCAATACTAACCCAGAGAAGGATGGCAGGCAGAGTCGTGATCTTTTGCCACTGCACCTGCAGGTAATGCCTCCTCTGTACAGTTCCCGGGGTCAGACATCTCCTGGGAGTCATCCTGGCCAGCAGCACGAGGCACTTTCTTGCTCACAGGTAAACTGACTCACGAGCTTGTGAGCGTCTCCCTAGAGGTGGGAAATCAGACACTTCATGGTCATGACACATTTTTGTTTATTTTTAAAAATGTTCAGCACTATCCTCTCTCCATTTACCCCAGTTATTCCAGTGAAATCTAGATGGCACCGCTCATTGTCTAATCCGGGTTCTTCCACTGGCTGATGAATTTAGATCTTCTGGGGCAAAGTGCAGACTGCATGGGTGCTCCCACGAAGGATTTTAAAAGTTGGCCCTTCATCTCTCCTGATCGCTCTCACCCAACGGGAACATATTTCTTTGTCCACGAGAAAATTGTGGAAACTCAAATACGGTGGTTTTTTTTAATTATTGGAACAACATGGCACACTGCAATAACGTCTTGATGACTGTGTCATGCTGTTTAGATGAGCTTCTGCTGAGAAAGATGGACACAAGAAGAAAGCAAAAAGAGAAATTATTAATCATCAGAACATGGAAATGGTTTGACTTAGCTTTTAATTCAATATTTAAAATGCTATTCTAAACAACAGTGTTGGAAGATGTCAGAGATTTTACATTAATAGATAAAGTAAACATTTTAATGTTACAGCACTGACAGTGTATATTTTAGCTACCTGTTAGCTGCTAGCTAGCTTACTTTCCAATTGGAGGCTGTTTCCATACACAGTTACAGAATGGTAAATTGATAATGATGGATAACGTCACCACAGCTAACTAACACAAATACTGTTTTTCTTAACGTTAATATAGCTAGTAAACCTTTAAACGTTAGAGCACTGACAGCCTGTGTTGTATATTTTAGCTACTGTGGCTAAAGTTGCTGCAATGATGGATAACGTTACCACAGCTAACAAACACATAAATACTGTTTTTATTAACCTTACCTTGTGCTATATCTTGTAATATAACCTCTGTAAATAAAGGTTGAAGGAATGAAATTCTGTGACGTTTCCAGACAGGTGTCCCGAGGGAGAATAGACCCGGAAGTAATGATCCACAGCATCGAGTCAAAAAGGAAGTTGTCTGACGTCATTGTGAAAAGGGCCTATAGGGGCAACTATGGTTCTTTACATGGTAATTATGGTTCTTTACATGGTAATTATAGTTCAAATTGGGAGTAAATACATTGGTAGAGTCTTGGTTCTTATGGCTTGACTGACAAAGCCTGAAAAAGGTACAAGAAGCAACCTCCACATGAATCCACCCCTTGCACGGGGAAATGCTTGAGGCATTGAATTATGAGGTTGAACACATTCTACTAGATAATGGTTTGTTCAACTCCACACATTGTTTAGGCTCTGGAACCAAACAACTAGTTCCTAACAGTATAGTTTCACCAAAAAAAGGACTCAAGACCCTCTTTATTTTACTTTTCAGAGAATCTGAAGCTTGCCACAAAAATTTTCTCTGGTAACTTTGTTAATTGCAAGTTTGATCAATCACTGCTTTCAATTTTCTAAAAACAATTTATGCTTCAAAAATGATATAATTAAACAAAATACTTATTAAATTTACTTATGTTTTGCCTTAATTCACAAATGAAACGTTTTAGATAACACTTTTCATAAATTTAACTTGTTGACAACCTGTTTGAACACATTTCTTTGTATATGTAAATGCAATACTTATCACCTTTTCACGTGTTTTGAAGAATCTTCCTGAGACACCCATTTTCACTGACAGAGTGGTGTTCAGAGTGGCTCCGTGGATCATGACACCCAACACTCTTGACCCCGAGGACGTGTTTGTCTGCAGGTAAAAGTAGACTGATGAATAATAAAGCTGAATGTGTCAGTTGGATGTTATAGAATACATACACTCTATAGTGCAGTCTTATACTGCCAAGAAAGCTGCTGTCTTCTTAAGAATAAGCTTTTTTTGTTTCATATCCAATAAATGCAGTAATTTGTGGAAAAAACATTACTTAAAAGTTTTTGCTTTATTAAATGTACGTGTCAAATTTGGGTTTCAGTACATCTGACAATTACGAGTTCTTGAAAGAAATGGACAACCTTGTTGCAGAAAGTGGGTATAAGCTCAAAGTTTGCCATGAATACATGAACAGAGAGGATCGCTGGATTCAGGTAAACAACAAATATGCTTGATTTATCACAATGATTAAATCATAAATCAATAACTTTGAGAGATATAAACAAGTTTAAAAGTTGTACTAAATGATCCCAAGTCCAAAAACTTGGGATTTTGTTTGAAATGTCAATATAAACAAAATGCAATGATTTGTTAAGCTCAAAGCCTCACGTTTTTTTTTTTTTTTTTTTTTTTTTTGTGATGATCCCTCCTCTTTAATACTGAGCCATCTGTGGTTATCCTTTTTTTCTTCTTCAAATTTCAGTTTCTCTGACCACAGAGCAGCTTTCCAGTTACAATCATGCAAATAAAGCACTGATAACGCTGTCCAACACCTGTACAAGATATATCTGTTTATTGTTCTTTCCCCAATCTGACAGACTATCAGATGCTCCTGTAACTGCCTGATAACACTACTGTCACTTGTTATGACAGTCGCTCATAGCATTTACACATTAATCACCAAACTAAGCCCAAAACAGACCATTTGTTCTGAGAAAGTTACTTTTGTTGTTTGTTATTGTGCAATTGGCAAAAAATGAGAATGAACTAAACTAACCGCCCAATAAACACATTACAAAAACACACTTTGTCACAAACTTTAACTTTTTTGCAGGATGAAGTGGAATTTGGTTACATTGATTCACCTCATCACTCATTTCCTGTGGTTCTGGATTCCCCCAGAGATGGAGCGCTCAAGGATTTTCCATACAACGAGCTACTGGTGACAGACAGACTCTGTTTTCTCTTGAGATCAAACATTCACAGAGACAAATACATTCAGAAATCAATTATTGTTTTGGTCCTTTATTTGTTCAGAAAGTTATCTGGCCAATTTTTTTTTCCTCATGGGGATACAAAATAAATGTAAATATAATAAATTACAATGTTACTATAGTTATTCAACCTTTGCCAAAAGAAATAAATATACTATTAATCACAGAAGTATATTAATGTATAGTACAAAATTCAATTATCTTGCTTTCTAGAGCTGATCTTTAAACAAACGTCTTTCCTCAGGGCCCTGATTTTGGCTATGTGACCAGGGATCCCCAGAATGAAGAAGTGAACAGTCTGGAGTCGTTTGGTAACCTGGAGGTCAGCCCCCCTGTCACTGTGAATGGGAAAGAATACCCTCTGGGCAGAATCCTTATCGGTGTTGCCTTCCCAACGTAAGAAACAGATCCACTGATTAGATTGTATTTCTTAAATACTGTACCATTACAGACATTTACACCTCTATATGCAGGAAGAGGGCCACCTGCATCATGAAGGACACCACTCACCCAGCACACACACTTCTTTTTACCCCGCTCCCCTCAGGAAGGAGGTTAAGGAGCATTAAGTGTAGAACCACTAGACTGAGGAACAGCTTCTACCAGTGGCGATTTTAGCCTCTTTTTAGGGGTGCTGAAGCACCCCTAAACTTTAGCTTAGCACCCCTAAAAATTTTAGAAAACCATTTTGTAAGGAAACTCGGTTCTTAAACTTTAGATTCACCAAAATCTTGAATAAATATGGAATGACACGCATTAAACGGGCCAGTAAAATCTATGATTTATTTTTTTACGAGTCGGATGCTGAGCGCCAGCTGTCAATCATTCCAGTAAGCTCCTCATCTAACCAATCGGTGATCGCATTTGTCTCAAAGGGAACGCCCCTTACCTTCAGGCGCTGCATGTTTTTATCTGACTGCGTTGTCGGGGTTTTGTATTACGATCGATTTGCGGTCTGAGCGATTTCATTTAAAAAATATATCATTGGAAAAAATGTCTAAAGTCCAGCGGCCGACCTCATGAGCAGCTGAATTTAACAGTGATCAACAGAAAATACCTCATGTTCACCTGTACAAAGTAACTGCAAGTAAAATCCTCCATTTTCTGTCATAATCACTTCGTATATATATATATATATATATATATATATATATATATATATATATACTATATGGGTAATTAAAGTTTAATGCTAAAGCTAGCTGTGCTTTGTTTTGTGTGTTAATGTAGATATATGTTGCAACTTATTACAGCTCCATTTCATATTGACTAGTGATTTTTTTATCTTAAAGTTAGCTTACACTACATCTCTTAAACTGTGGTGGCTAGCTAGAAATTAAAAAGTTAGGTAGCCTACTTTATGCCACTGCGTTATATGTAGACCTACTAGTGACTTTTTAAAAAAAAGTTTAACCTTAAGCTACATTTGTTTGCCTGTGAATAGAAATTTGATTTGTACTTTAACTTTGATAGGCCCACCTCATGGAGAGTGAACTGAAACAGTGGAACAGCAGAACCCTGACCCATAATTTCTACTTTTCCATAGATGGACATTCGCTCTTTCTTTAAAAAAATAGGCCCACCACAGCCAGGTTCAGGTAAGGGAATATAAAACATCCCCACTGAGCAGCCTAGTAACCCAATATTAAAAAAGCAAACATGTAAATATAATGTTGATGAGTGTAACCTGCCTGTACTTATTGGATTGATAAATTATTGACATTACTTACTGGTTGACACTGACAGCACAAGGAGGAGGAGAGGAGGATAGAGAGCGAGCCCAGGAGAGAGAGCAAGATGAACCAGGTTAGAAATAAAAAACAATCGTCAAGACCATTGCATATATATTTTTTAAACACATTTATGAGGGAGACTCATATTATCTGCACCTTTTTTTCTAATGGCAATTTACTGACTATTTGAAATTGTGAATTACAAACAAGTTATTAATCTATTTGCCTTTGATTGATACATTTGATTTATATGTGTGATCAACATTAAAAGCTTTTAAAAATGTTTAGACCACCATCTACCTTGTGGACAATGTTTTTTGAACCATGAAGGCAAGAACAGTCAGTTATGTTCAAGTTTCTTTATTGTCATTCACATCACATGTGGTATGAGGTAGAACAAAATTATGTACACAAGGTCCCAGTTACATCCAAAAATAGCAAAAGTATAAAATATAAAAAGTAAAGGTATATAAGGATCTAAGATATGCTAAACTGTACTTTAAACAGTACGCTAAAACTTCTAAGATATACTCTGTTGTTGCAGTCGTGAAACTACTCACAGTCAGTCGCCTGGATTCATGGTAAAATACCACTACAGTACTTTTACTTAGATGTATTATTTTTCAGGTTATAAAATTGTTTAATCTTCCCCAACCTACTTCAGAGCAATTATTGCATTAGACTTTTGCTTTTGCTGTACTCTTATCCAGGGTGATGTACAGTGAGCCCACTACAACTGCTCCCTCTGGAGAAACTAAGAGCAAAAATACAATTTATCATAGGGTGAAGTGCTTCCTTACCACTTTACCATCACCACTCTTTATCAGAGAATTAAAACCCAAAAAGTTATACAATGTTAGATTTGTCATGCAATATTAATTTATTTTTCACTTATTTTGGACAGTTCTAATCATTATGATTAAGCCCTTCAACAACTTCCTGTGGGAACAATAAAGTTCTGTCTTATTTTTTCTTGTCTTCTCAGTTTATAGACCTTTTTGCCTTTGTTTTCTGTGATGGTTCAGAAACAAAACAGAAGTTTAAGAAACAATCATCTGATCCATTGAAATAACTGTTTACTATTGAACTTATATGATTGCCGTGTCATTCAAGCAAAGAGCCATTTTCAGCACTGGGGGCTAAGCACCCCTAAAGGTCAAATCCTAGAATCGCCCCTGGCTTCTACCCTGAGACTGTTAGACTCATGCATATCTAACCAGGATAATCACTGTGAAAAATCACATCATGTTGCTGCTGATCTGTTTCATGTTGCTGCTGATCTGCTTCATGTTGCTGTGTTCATGCGTGCTCATCTGCTCACACAGACTCATGTTCATGCTGCTGTTCAACGTAATGTTTTTATGCTATTAGTGCTTAGTGTATTTTTAGCTGATGTTTTTCTTAGTTCATATCTTAGATCTTATTACTGTTGTTCCTTTACATTTTTATTGTTGGATGTAACTGGGACCCTGCATCTCGTTCCACCATATGTACCACATGAGATGCGGATGACAAATAAATCTGACTCTGAAATAAAGCCACCCCCATATGACAAGCATTTCATGACAATATTACAAAGCCGTGCAACAGTCTTAAGTCATTTCTCTCTTTTTTACAGTTTCCAAAGAATCAGCCTTGCCTATAAATTTTAAACTGGTCTTGAGCAATAGTTCTCAGAGGTTTCTGACGTTCTCTCAGGTATATTCTGTCATAACGGCTGCAGTTTTTTCTCATTTCAATTTCCATCGTTTCACATGATTTGACTTAAATGAATATTTGTTTTTCAGTAACATAACAATGACCTGATTAAATTAGGCATAAAATAATATTTAACACAAAGTTTAACCATTAAAAAAGAGTAAAGTTCAGCTGCAAGCTGCTTGTCACAAAAACACATTTTCTGTTTCTTATGCTGTATATCTAAATAAATGCTAATTATACCCAGAGAAGATTTTAGCCTCTTTTGAGGGGTGCTCAAGCACAGCTAAATTTTAACTTAGCACCCTTGACAAATTAAGAAACCATGATTATGAATTTGTAAGGAAACTTAGTTCTTAAACCTTAATCAAAATATTGAATACATTTGGAATGGAATAAATTATGACACTTAAACGGTCCAATCAAATCTATGATTTTTTTGTACGAGTCGGATCCTCGACACCACCTGTCAATACATCCAGTAGGCTTGTCAGCAAATGACCAATCAGCGACCTCAATTTGTCCCAAAGTGGAATTTCTCTTACCTGCAGGAGCTTGGGTGTGGGGTAGAGAGTGCTCACACAATTCAGTTCAATTCAGTTTATTCATATTGCGCCATATCACACAGAAGTCATCTCAGGGCACTGTACAAAAACTTTCACATACATTAAATAGCCAATTAGTAAAAGTTATCTATCTAAGGAAGCCAGCAGATTGCGTTGAATCTTCACTTTGTTGCAGTCTTCCATCCTGAGCAAGCACAAAGGCAACAGTGGAAAGGAAAAACTAATTTTTAACAGGGAAAAACCTCTAGCAGAACCAGGCTCAGGATGAGCAACCATCTGCTTCACAAGGAGAGCTGTAGGTCTGGCGACTTCTTGTGGTGCCATGCTCTCTAAAATAGTTAACTCAAGTGTTTACTTATGTAGATAAACATAGATGTTTAACATCCTGTTTAAATACGCCAGAATGCAGAAATTGGCATCAAGTTTATTCACAATTTTCTGGGGTAGGACCCCCAGACCCCCCATCAACATGTCCCTCCCACATTACAAATTCTTCTGATGCCAATGGCCACCGTGTTGTTCAAGCCAAGAGACATAGTCAGAAACAGGGGCTAAGCACCCCCAGAAAGGGCAGATTCTAGAATTACCCCAGATGATACGTCATTTTAAAAGCATAAAACATTTTTTTCTGCATGGGGTAACTGTAAGAAGACAAAGGTTTTTGCTGGATATTTTCATTTTTTCTTTAGAATGTCTCAAAATACTGTAACTCTGCTGTAAAGGTTGTTTTTAGGTTTGACACTTTTTTTTGTGTCTTGTTTGTCCTTTAGTCAGACAATGTTCAAATTAACATTTTTGATAAACTCAGCTAATGTTCATTGCAAATTATAGGGATCATGGTACTTTATTCAGTCAAAAGGACTGAAAATGACTTTTCACAAAATTTAACTTGGGATTAACCTGTATAAATAAAGGTTGAATGAAAATCATTACGTAAAAACAGATGATATTTGAGTCTGTGACGACAGCAAAAATCTGGGTTTACTGAAAAGGTGCAAAACCAGCCAAACAGCTTGACATGATAAAAAAATCTCTCACTCTCCCAAAACTCTTTCTTATATCTCCCTTTTATTTACCTAAACAGCTCTAACTGCATATATTCTTTCCCAAGACACATTCACTGACTTTATGCCCAAACATTTAACATAAACTTGCTTCCTGTAAGATAAACACATTGTTTCCCTTCCAGTAAGCTAATTTTAGGTGTAATATCTTCATTCCTCGTTTGGTGATAAGACCTAGCACATTGGTGGCACAGTAGCTCAGTTGGTAAAGCTGTTGCCTCTCAGTGAAAAGGTCACTGGATTGATCTGATTGGTCTAATGTGTTGGCTGCAGATATATATATATATATATATATATATATATATATAGTTTATTTTGATCATTTTAATAATCTGTATTCTTTTTAATTTACGAGAAACTTCAAAATAAATTCTCACCCTGTACTGATACCTGTTTCAGGGTCTTACCACCAGCATTTCCGCCACCAGCTGGTAAGGCGCGTGACACCAATTTGAACCGTTACTGAAAGTATAATGGAAACATAACATGTACCATACCGAGCCGAGTCAAAACCGTGCTGTACCAATACTAAAGGTACTAATGGAAAAGGGGCAAAACTAGCTTCTGCCATTTCAATCCTTCTGGCAGGAAGCAAGGGCACCCAGCCAAGTGGAAGATTGCCCAAATCTTTGTGACTATGCAAAACATTTAATACTACATTGAAACAAAACATTCATCCATCCATTATCTTTACCAGCTTCTTCCTTTTCCAGCTATGGGGGTAACTGGTGCCCATATCCAGCAGTCACTGTGCAAGAGGTAGGGGACATCCTGGATAGGTCTCAAGTCCATCACAGGGACACATAGAGACAAACAAGACCGATAACCATGCACACACACACCAATGGATAATTTAGAGATACCAATTAGTCTAACATGAATGTTTATTGGTCTGTGGGAGCAAACCAGGGTACCCAGAAAAAAAAACATGCATACGTGGCGCAAACATGCAAACTCCAACCAGAAACACCCCTGGCTGGGATATGCTCCAGTGACCTTCTCACTGAGAGGCAACAGCTCTATCAACTGAGCCACTGTGCTGCCGTCATCACTTAGCAATTAAGAATATTTTCTTAATCACAGAGCAGTAAAAAAAAAAAAAAAACTTGTGGGAGGATTGTGAATATTAAGTTCTTCTTCTTTTTTAAGTACAACTACAGGAAGAAACATGACCAAAGTGATTCAAGACTTCTTGTGGGCTCAAAAGGTCCAGGAGCCTATTGCCCTATTTTCTGACTGGCTCTGTGTTGGCCATGTTGATGAATTCATGACATTTGTTCCAGCGTCAGACAAAAAGGTAAATTTTCCAACAGCAAATAAACATTTTTATAGTTAAAACACTGATGATTTACAAATTAAATATAAAAAAAACATAAAGCATGTTTGCTGGATGTTGTGCCTCCATATTCTATCAGAAAATTTTTGGTGCATCTTTGTATTGGTTTAACAGTTGTTATCTTTGTTTCTTGTGTTGCTTATTGCAGGGCTTTCGACTGCTGCTGGCCAGCCCAGACGCAGGCTATAAACTGTTCAGAGGCTTACAGAAAGATGGGCATGGAGAAGCCAAACAGTTTGAGGGTATGGTGAGAGTTTTGACGGCATTAATGTCCTTAGAAATCTGTCTGCTCCAACTCTGACTGTTTGTTAGTCACTTTGTACAATTCTTCTCAAAGGTCTGAAAGATCAAAAGCCAGTGACAGTGAATGAGATTCTTAGTGATGAAAATCTCCAAGCTGAAAATAACTATGTACAGGTGAGCAGCAATGGAAACTGAAGTACATTGTACAGCCACATTTAAAAAAATAAAAGCATCTCATTCCCATTGGTACTAAATCATCACCTATTTCACTTGATGATTATGCAATTTGTGTGAAAATAAAACAAGTAAAGTTGATATATCTAAGCAAAAGGTAGACATATTGTGCTACTTTCATTATTTAATAATCTGAGGTTAATGTTACTTAAATACCATTGTATATCAAATGTTTTATTAAGTATTTTACTTATCTGTGGGATTTATTTTTTTTTAATCAGAGCTGTATTGATTGGAACAGAGATGTCCTGAAGAGAGAACTGGGCCTGGATGATGATGACGTCATTGACCTGCCAATTCTTTTCAAAATGAATAAGGATGATGGATATGGAGCAGTGGCTTATTACCCTGACATGGTGTGTTCTTAATATTCTTCAAGATTAGACTTTTTGTTTCCTTCAGATTTTGCTTTGAATGTTGAAATAACTGGAGGTATTGCTAGTACACAAAATATATGATAGGTGTACATTTTAAAATTGATAACATAATTTAATGCCAAACCCTGTTCCAGGTCAACATGATTGTCTTGGGGAAAAACCTTGGCATCCCAAAGCCGTTTGGCCCCCGAGTGAACGGATGCTGTGCCCTGGAGGCTGAGATGCGTTCCTTGATGGAGGGCCTGGGTCTTAAATGTACATTCATTGACGACTTCGCCTCCTACCACCAACTCCTGGGGGAGGTGCACTGTGGCTCCAACGTACGTCGAAAACCATTCGACTTCAAGTGGTGGAACCTGAAGCTGTGAATTCCACTTCTGGTTTATTTGGTGGCACTCATGACAGTGATGTCAGAAACAGATAATGATTAATAATATCACAGTAAACAAAGTAAAACTAGATTATGGTTTTGATGCCAAACACAGGTACAGGGAAGTAGTTGTAGATCCTCCATCCATCTATTTTATTTTCCATTGAGGAAACAGGGAGCTAATGCCTATCTCCTTTAGTCATTTAGCAAGAGACTGGGTACACCTTGAACAAGTTGCTATTCCATCACCGGACCATAAGACAAAAAAGACAGACAACCATTCACTCTCATTCACATCTAGTGACAGTTTAAAGTTACCAGTGAACATATCATGCCTAAGTTTACCCACAAGAGAAAACCAGAGTGTTTTGGAGAAACCCACACATGCACAATGAGAACATGTAAACGTTTCACAGAAAGGCTGCAGTCAGGTTGTAAACCTCTTACCGTTAGGTGACAGCTCTAACAACTGTGTCGCTCTGCCGTGGAGCTGGAGAAAAGTGTACCACATCCAAGGAAGACAGCAGGAGTGCAGTTTACCCACTCCCAACTTGGGAAGGTAGACAAAAATACATATTTGAGGCCGTTATGGGAACAACTTGCAGAATCTAAAATATGTAAAAAGCATCTCAACAGTTTGAAATGTTAAAGAGAACTAACACATTATTGAATTCCTTGATATTTAACTTTTTTTTTCTAATTATTTGAAAAAGTGGACCTTTTCGAAATTTCAATTACAAAAACTCTTCACAGTAACCTTTTGCATTTGTTTAAGAAATGTCTTCTCGGGGCTGAATCTTCATATTCATCTTTATTAAACCTTTCTGTTGGTTTCATTTACAAAAAAAAAATGATGAAAAGCAATATTTACAAACAAGCCTTACAAACTAAGACTTAAGCAAACAGTGACTCGAACAGAGGTACAATCGTTTGAATTGAGAACACAGAAGAATTCCCCAGAAGTGGTTGTAAGACACTGGCTTACAGTGCAGACATTAAAAGTACCACATAGTAATGTGCAATAATGATACAGAGCCACAAGAGGACAGACTTCATCTACTCCAACATTTTCTAGTTCATATATATACAGGTAGTTGTTTTTCGGACTGGAGTGCTAATTTATTACTGACTTCCAATTTATCCTTGTATTTTTCTGTTGCTAAAACAGTTTAATGAAAATAATGTACCCTGTAAGTTGTTTAGCATTTATTCCAGTGTCTTTTTTTCAACCTGAACTCAGTGTAATTTCTGTCACCAGTAATCACACAATAAATATATGTTTCAATCAAACAGCTTAAATAAAACGATGTAATTAACCTGCCTTTTTCATCATAATAAAATTAAATACATTTATTTTCTTTTTAGATTTACATTCAAGCCATTCGGCAGCACAGTGCCTTCAAATATATCTTTCCCTCAAAGCTGTTGCAGTGACGCCATCATAAAGGCAATGTTAAGACGAGTCACAGTGTAATTCATTTTCAACAACAAATCAGTCTCCTTCAAAAGGAAATAACAGAAAATGTAGTGCTTACAGTACATTTATATTTATATTACATTTAAAAAAAAAAGCTCTGACATTTGGCTCTCTATCAGCAATGTGCACTGCATTTTGAGATGGCTGGTTTTCAATAAAAACACAAATAACTAGACAACGCTTCTGGGTGAAGCGTTGCATCATTGAGCAGAAGAGAGGCTTTTGGCAAGCAGCTTTACACCATGGACAGTGCTGCTATGCACATACCAGTATGCAGACATTAACAAGTGGTGTGTAACAAAAAGCATCTGCAGACTATAAACGACATGCCATTTATGTGCAGCTAAAGGATGCATGTCACAGGTCGGGCTCCACATTATAGTGAAATAGTTCTTTTATTACCAGAATTTTACTGTAGCTTCAAATTTTCAATATTTTTGACCCCTTCACCCACACAGTAGATGGGTGAGACAAGTCTTTCAGAGCCACCAGCAGCAGCATTAAACGTTTAGCAGAAAATTAGACAAATTTGCCAGAGATGTTGCAACACATATCCACAACAGAATACACAGAAAGGAATATATTCTTAATAAAACACAGAACGTGGCCGCCAGGAAGCCACACACGCACTTAATACGTCAAAGTTAAACCTATGTACAATGTCACAGTGGGATGTGTGTTGGATTTTTAAAAAAGCATATCTCTTGTAGTACAACTCTGTACAAGCTAAACAAATTGCATGTTCTTTTATCCCCACATCCGTCGTAAAATCCTCTTTCAAATCCAGATCTTAAAAAAAACGGCTCAAGGCGTTTGAGAGTGCACCTGAATCATGAGCTTCACTGCTCTAAGCTAGCTACCAAGTGACAGCCATTTTTGATGCTGCATGTATGTGGAGGTCTGTTTTCTTTTTACTTGAAAACTCAAGGATTTCCACATAGAGAATGAAATCAGGGCAGAAAGTTGGTATGTATCCATGGAGGTGAATGTCACGATGGTTTGTCAGATCCATGTCAAACAAAAGATGATGTGTCAGCCTCTTCGCTTGGCTCAACTGTACTTTTTTCTGCCTCAGTGGTGGACGTCCAGTGTTCTTCTTGGCTTGTTTTGTAGCAAAATGTGCCTTTATGGGAACACAAAAACAGATGGTTAAATGGGAGACATTAAATATTTATTGAGAAGCAGGTAAATATGATGTTAATGTGGGAGGATTATAGAAAAGTATTTGGAATACGTCCAACCTGAAAATGGATGCCAGGGTGGTGCTTGGAGAATAGTGGCTAACAGTCCTGCAGACAGATACAAAAAGAATGTGACATCATTAAAATCAACAAACAGAGGAAATACCGCACACTGAAATTCTGAGTTAGGCTACATTTCTGTCAGTCTTTTTTCTGTTTTTATCAAAGTACACCCTAAGATATTTACCAACCAAAGGTCTGTGTGTTTGTTTGTCTGTACCGTTGTCAAGATATCTCATGAATCACTGGACACATTTTATTCAGAATCAGTTTATTATTGCCATGTCAATGAATGAGGTTCACAAACTAGGAATTTGCTTCGACATAAGGTGCGAATAGTAATAAAGTAAAATAAAGTAAAAATGAAAACATTACATAAGACATAAGACCTGTGTACACCCACAAATAAAGTAAAAATGAAAACAACATAAACATGTGTACACCCATACAATAGAAAACAATAAAAAAGCTTAGAAAACAGTACAGATGGAGTATTCAATTATAATACAGATGTAATGTGACCAAAGCAGAAATTATGAGGTAGCATTATGAGTGTTCTGGAGTCCAACAGCAGAGGGGAAGAAACTGTTCTTATGGCGGGAGGTTCTGGTCCGAATGGACCGAAGCCTCCTGCATGAGGGGAGTGGTTCGAACAGACCGTGTGCAGGGTGAGCAGGGTCAGCTGTGATCCGACCTGCTCGCCTCACAGTCCTGGAGACGTACAGGTCGTAGAGGGATGGAAGGCTGCAGCCGATCACCTTCTCAGCTGAGCGCACAACGTGCTGCAGTCTCAGTCTTGAAACTCAGACAAAAGGATTATAGATTATCCATCCATCCATGAGCTTTTACCCTCTTCTTCCATTTTGGGTCACGGGGGTCGCCGGTGCCCATGTCCAGCAATCACTGTGCGAGGGGCGGGGTACACCCTGGACGGATTGCAAGTCCATCACAGGGACACAGAGACAAACAAGACAAACAACCATTCACTCTCTCACTCACAACTAGGGACAATTTAGAGTTACCAATCAGCCCAACATGTATGTTTTTGGTCTGTGGGAGGAAACCGGAGTACCCGGAGAAAACCCACGCATGCACGGAGAGAACATGTAAACTCCACCCAGAAAGGCCCCTGGACCGAGATTTGAACCAGGGACCTGCTCGTTGAAAGGCAGCAGCTCTACCAGTTGCGCCACCGTGCTGCCCCCTTATAGATTATACCTTTATAATTATATGACTTTACAGCTATGTAAACTTAGCAAACACAAATTAATTTACTGTATTTTCCGGCATAAGTCAAAGTTTTTTGCATAGATTTGTCAGTCCTGTGATTTATACGCCAAAGTGACTTATATTCTTTCTTTTTTCCATATTCATAACATAACACAATTTTTGTCTGATGCTTTAAATGTTGAAGAACTGCAACAGCTAGTCCTCCCGTGTCCACTTGCTTCACTCAGCTGGTGCAGGCAGAGGAACGCTAGAGGATGGATGGATGGCACCGCATCGGCCAGGCGAAATGAAGCTGTTTTGACCATCAAAGTGCATTTATTATGGAAAAGTTAAACAGAGATAAATTTGCTATAATTTCAAGCAAACTTAATTGTTTTTACGTTAATCTTGTTAAATTTCTAAGAATTGCAACAGCGAGTCCTCCCGTGCATGCTCGCTTCACTCAGCTGGTGCAGGCGGAGGAATGCTGGTGAGCTAGCGGCTCTGGCCACAATGAATGGATGGATGGTGTCATGCCATCTAGGCAAAATTAAGCTGCTTTGACCATTAAATAAACGCATAATAAATGTGACGGGTCAGCGGTGACGCATAATAAATGTGACTTATATGCCAAAATGACATACATGTTTTTTTCCTCTTCATGATGCTTTTTTTGACTGATTCGACTTATACTCCAGAGCAACTTATACGCTGGAAACTACAATATAACTCAGCCTATTTTATAGACATTAAGCTACAATTTGGTGTAGTAGTAGCTTAGAGTCGCTCTTAACCCATACTTTCAGTGTGACACATTGCATAAAATCTTTGCTTATTATTTTGCATTACCTGTTTGCACCAAACCTAACTGACATCAGCTGACAGACAAACACTGTCAGCTAATGTCAATGTCTAATTGATCTCTGGATAGATTTTAATAAAACTTTAAGAGGGTAATTACAGAATGCACATATCCAAATTATTACCTTTTGCAGTCACTTAAAATAAAGATGACTGCTACAGCTAGTTTTCCAACACATTGAAAACATTAAAAATCATTGAGATTGTGTAAGGATGGTACCATTTGCTGTTTCTGTTTGTGTTTGTGTTCCCCACTCTGCTTTTTGTGCTCTTGTAGTTCTGCTCTTTGT